TCGGCATCCTCCAGGAGAGGCGCGAAATCTGTGGAGATACGATGTTCGAACTATGGAAGATGGAGGGTTTAGTTTATAAGGCTTGGGGGGAAGTTTTGAGTAATTGGAGTTCTGGATCTGCAGCCTCTGAGTCCTTTCGGCCCCGACACTAGTGGATTTCAAGAGACAGCCTTGAAACACCAGTGAAGAGCCCAGAAACGAGACAGGTCGAAGACTGCACTTCGCGGCTCTTGCATTTAGAGCTGAGGGTTCAGGGTCTCAACCCATGTGGCGTGCACTCCCCCAGTTGCGCCTGATCTAATAGCCGATGATGACAAGCAACTTAAAGGTTGCGGCTTCTTGTACGTAGGCTTGACCCAAAAAGAGATTCCCAGACCACAACTTTTTCAGCACTGAACCCGACTAAACCCTAGGAGCCCGGTTGAACCCTAAAGACCAGGCCAGTCCATGATCTAAGCACTCAAACGTCAACTAAACCTTAACCCCAAGTGAACCCCAGGCAATTGAGCCAACATAACTTAGGGGTCTGAATAAGTACAGTAGCCACTTAGTCATCGCATCCCCATATGGCCCCTGTTTATAGTCCAATCTCCAGAAATACCCACCCATAACACAAGCCGTCCGAAGCCCCGGACATATTATAAGACAAAAAGCACTTACATCTCACTCATCTGCAGAAACCTCATGGATCCCTTAAGAAGACAATTTCAATTCTAATTTTTGGGAGCTCCAAAACTAAGCTCCCAAAGCCCTGACAGTTCGCTGGCTCGAGGCCTCTGCTGCCAACTGTGCTCCGAGGGCCTCTTCCACAGCCTCAGAGACAGTAAGACCAATAATGTGATGATCGTACAAAACCATCACCATCATGAATCATTAATCATAATATTACCATCACCATCATGAGAATCATCATACCAAAGAATAAGAACACTAACATAAATACTGGTTACAGTGTGATGATGATAACAGGGTTCCTTCCTGTCAGGGTTCGCTTGGGTTACCATAAGGGATCTACAAGAGGTTCAGAGTCAACGCGATAGAATAAGGCGCTCATACTGGCCTTGCTGGGCGTGACATCGGATTTGGGTCGAGGTCTTGCAGTCGAGGATTCGGGTTCAGGGTTTTCGCAAGAGTTTCTTGTGGTATTTCTAGGGCACCTCCTACCTCCCCTTGCTCGGCCTAGGGGTCGGAGGCTCTGCTTGAAGACTGCTGGTCTCATGTGCGGCCGGCTGACAAATACAAGCTTCGGGGTTCTCGAGCTAAATCCTTGCGTATAGAGTGAAGCCAGGATATTATACGTAGTGATTTCTGTGCTCATCCTGCATTTCAGGGCGGGATAGATGGTTTGGGGCTTCCGGTCGAGGATTTCGGAAGTTGAGGTTGCGGGCCTCGGAATGAGACGGACCGAGCTCAAGGTCCCCAGCCCAAACCGAGACTGGCCTGCTGGATCCGAAGCACTGAAACGTCACACAGCTCTCATCACAAGCAGCCCTCCAGGGACTCGGCTGTGGCTCGACCTAAGCCGGCGTATGCACGGCAGCGAGCTATCGTGTCCTTTCTGCTGTTTGTGATATGCTGCAGCTCACCACGCCGGCTCTCAACCTTCTGCAAACCTCTTCTGAAGGTGGGCGGCTGTCAGCTTGCAGAACTTCCGGCGACAAATCCTGGCAGAAGCAACATCAGGAGTGGAGTGTGAGAGAAGTTCGACCGGATGCAGGAATCTTGTGAACGAAGGGTTGGAGCCGAGGTTCTCATTCAGGTGCACGGCATGCCAACTTGAAACTGCAAGACTGCAAGCAACGCCGTCGCGTTACTTTCCCTACCCCACAACATGTTGTACAATACCGTAGGCAACATGGCAGTGCTCACAAGTATGCTTGAAAACGGAAGAGACTACACGAATCAATTTAATTAAACTGCATACCGCAGGCTCAAGTACTGGTGAGATTCAGAAGCACGGCCAATATGTGTACCCCAGGTACTCGGGGATTCAAGAGCACGGCCAAAATGCTTCCCTGCAAGCACTGGCGGGATTCAGGAGGGATAGCTAATGTCGCTTCAAATACTGGCCGGATTCAGAGATTTCGGTTCCCAAAGGTGGGCATCGTATCCGGGGGACGCGGCCGCGGGCATCCTGCGTAACTAATTGGACGCGTGCGGAATACTCACTGTGCCACAACGGCAGCCGCGTCCCAGGGAACCTACCAGTGCGGCACCCCCCGTGGCCACCTTAACCTAGAGCCCTACAGCGTGCACCACTCTGCGCACCACGCTGTGTGGGGAATTTCAATCTCTACACAGACCTGAACCCCAAACTGAATTGCAGGCCTCGGCGGAAGGTGGCTCGAGATTACCTTACAGCTCGCAACATCTGAATGCAGAGGGTCTGTGGACCACATCTGTCAAATGACTTGCCAGCTGCACCTGTGCTCGTCACATTCTGAACCCTAAGCCCCAGACCCCAAAGCATAAATCCGAAAAGCCCGAAACCGTAAACCGTAAAACCGGCATCACGAACTTTTAAACTTGGACTGTATACGTCCTAAACCGTAAACCAGACATCCTAAACCCGAGACCATGTAGGCCTAAGCTGTAAACCTAGACCCTAAACTACAATGTGAACTTTCAAAGGGGATCTGAAAATTTCGGAAAATCAGCAGCCCCAACAGAAACCATACATAGTGGTGGTGGTAGTAGTACTAGTA